TGATATTCCACCAGTGTGAAAAATAAATAAATAATAATAATAATAATTTTGTATTTCGCGACCCACCTATCACATCTCTGCGCCCCACCAGTGGGGTGCGCCCCACACTTTGAGAAACACTGTCCTAGAGCATCATTGTGTTTTTTTAACCAATCACTTTGCAGAGGGGCGTGGCCAGCAGCAGCTCATTTGCATTTAAAGCTACAGACACAGAATCAGCACTTTTGAAACAGGGCTGAAACAGAGGGGATTATGGGATGCTGCAATAATCTGTTTGGTATTTGGAGCCAAACACTTTAGAGACATGTTTTGTATATATCCGAGACCTATAATATATTGTTGAAAAATATTATAATAGGGGACCTTTAATATCTGCACAGCTTTCCACTTTACATACCAATACGACACATATTTTATTTTGCGAGTATTTGGAAATATTATACTGTACTTTTTTTTGTATATCTATATTCCATGTAAATATTTCTCTATAGTACTACTATTGGTCCCTTTCTTACAATGTTTCTGCTTTGAATGTGTGTATGAATGCACCATATACACAAAGGAAATTCCTCATATGTGTAAACCTACTTGGCAATAAACCTGTTTATTTTTCAGAGTATTTTTGTCATATTACACTGTAAGTAGTATACAATATTTCATCTCAATATTTCTCTATATTTGAATGTTATGTTTATTTTTTGGTTCCTTTCCTACATTCCTACATATACATTCCATATTCTTTAACTGTGTTTATGTGTGCACCTTATGTTAGTCATGTTTAGTTGGTTACAAACTCTGAGAGAACACAGAGGCACTGTAAGAAATTAAAATCAATGTTTATATGGTGTAATTTAGATTAAATATACTGTCAATTTAAAACTGTTTTATTCTGAAAATACTTCATTTCCGGTTATTGCTGAATGGGACACGGAAAATCGGCCTCTCTTCTTCGTGTTCTGACTTTGCTCTGTCTGATTCAAAACCACGTTACTTTCATTAAATTACCCATTTGAACTTTTCCGGGACTACATTGTCTCTTTTTAACTTCCTCCTGGGTTCGAGAACAACGATCACAATCTACAGCACACAGAGGTGGAAAGAGTACTCAGATTATGTACTTCAGTAAAGGTAGAAGTACCAGAGTGTAGGAATACTCTGTTAAAAGTAAAATTCCTACATTTAAAAAGTCACTCAAGTAAAAGTACAAAAGTATAGGCCTACGCATCAAAATATACTTAAGTCTTAAAGTACCAAAAGTAAAAAATAATCATTATGCAGATTGGTCCATTTCAGAATAATATATATATATGATATTTTTTATAATGATTGATCATTAAAGTGTTATCAAAGCTGGTAAAGGGGCTAAAGTCTGATTTAAGAGTTGATTATATTTCACATTACTAATCGAAATCTGCAAAGAGAAGACACTAAATAAATTAAAAGAATGTAGTGGAGTTAAATTACAAAATGTACCTCGGAATTGTAGTGAGGTAGAAGTACAAAGTAGCATACAATTGAAATACTCAGGTAAAGTATAAGTATCTTAACATTTTACTTAAGTACAGTACTTTAGTAAATGTACTTAGAAACTTCCCACCTCTGGAGGCAGAGCAGGTGGTTTTATATCCATGTCAATATTCCTGTAAATAATAAACTTATTTTTGTCAGAACTTTTTTAAAAGGGAATATAACTCACTCTGTTCTCCTCTGACTCTTCTCCCATCTTCGCTCTCCTCTGTGCGGATAACGGAAGCCTCTCCACCCCCCTGGATGAAGGCGAGCACAGTGCGACCCAATGACAGATCCGTGATGTGGACTCTGTTCAGGAAGGGGACTCCATCAGCTGTTGAGATGTTAGAACCATCTCCCAGCTGGCAGCCGTGCTCTCCCCATGAAAACATGTTGCTTATGCGTCTCAGGATCAACCACAGCTGCTATTTATGACTCTGCAAATCAAAAACGAAACTTAATAAGTGACGTATGGAAACACTGGAAAACCAAACTTATAATATCAACACACTGCGAAGAAACGATAATAAAACGCCGACTGAGTCAGAGGGAGGAGGAGCTTCACCACTTCTGAGGTAAACGAAACCCGAAAGTGAAATTGGAGTTCATGAAGTCTGTTACTGTGTAGCCTACAGCAGGGTAGAGATAAGGAAGGTTCAATGACTAAAGGGAGCAAATAGATGTAAAAACATACAACTCTGTTAGTAGGATGAAAAGCACAGCAGATACAACTCATTATCTTAACCTGTTAAGCCCCGAGTCTGTTTTTCAGGTCTCGGGCTCGAAAATGACATTCCCAGAACAAATGACCAAAATCAATATAGATGTTGTTATAGATGTTTATCTTCCGTAATGTTACATGTTGTGATGTCTGTGTTTGCTTCCCCTCTCGCGAGTTCTGATCGCTCAGTGATGATACTATACATATAATCTGTGGAGTCACAGCTTTAATCGGATATCTTGTATGTGCAGTTACGATAAGTAATAAGGGTATCTTTATCTTGATTTCTGTGCCAAAGTGCGTTAGCATTTTTTGCTCAGGGGTCATTTAGATGCTTCATATGAGACCTATGCTTTGTTTCGGTAAAAATTGTTTGTATCGTCAGTTAGCTGAGATTCTTCCCGTTAATCTGGTATAACACATTAATAGGTTTTTAAATATTAAGATGCCCTGACACCAGTGTTGGGACTAACGCGTTACAAAGTAACGCGTTATAAAGTAACGCGTTACTGTAACGCAACTACTTTTTGCGGTAACTAATAGCGTTACTAGTTACCTATTCCCATTAAGTAACGCCGTTATAGTTACTGTGATTTAAATGGGTGTGTTACTGCGTTACATTCAGTGTTCGAATGACCCATTTGCTTTCGGGGGAGCCCTATTTTTCAGTGCACATCCTGCTACTAAATATATCACACGCACGCTCTGTTGACTGGCTGCACAGCAGGGCGGATTCGATCAATTGCTATAAAATCACTCTGCTATACTACAGACGGTGTCACTACGCCGGCGGCTGTGGCCGTTGTTGAAGCCTCTTCAGGCTCCGCATCGGCAGGCCTCTCCCTCGGTGTGGAAGTTGAGTAAAGTTAGAACGATATTGGCAGATTCAGATTTCACGGATCAATAACTCATGAACAAAACGTTATTCAGACACAAATTACGTCTCCTAAGTACCGTGGTAAGGTTGACAACGAATTACAATCACATGTTGATCAAAAAAAGCCAATACGTGCTGTCCTCCAAACTGGANAACTGAAAGTTTTCTGTGGCAATATTATTAAGAATCGTTGAGCTAGCTAGCATACATTGTCACTACTGTTACGTAATTTAGCCTTCTTATTTAATAGTTTTTTTCAAGGCTATAAACAGAGGTGGTATAAGTATATATATATATATATATGTACTGTAGTAAAGTATACTCAGATTTGTACTTGAGTTAAAGTAAAGTACTCAGGTCTTTTACTGAGTAAAGTAGAAGTACTCAGATCTTGTACTTGAGTAAAAGTAGAAGCACACAGATCTTTGACAGAGTAAAAGTAGAATTACTCAAATTTGTACTTGAGTAAAAGTAGAAGCACCAGGTCTTTGTACTTGAGTAAAAGTAGAAGCACACAGATCTTGTACTAGAGTAAAAGTAAATGTCCCGAGTGTAGGGAATACCTGTTTACAGTAAAGTCTGCATTCAAAATGTTCCTCAAGTAAAAGTAGAAAAGTATATCATCAATATAGTGAAAGTAGCGACAGTAAAAGTATCTTGTGCAGATTGGTCATTTCAGAATAAAGATAGATATGTTTTATAAGATTGATCGTTGAAAGTGTTCTCAAAGCTGTAAGGTGCAGCTAGTTTGAAGACTTTGTATACTGCAGGTAGCTTGTGGATTTACTCCAGGTGGAACTAGGTCGGAATTAACCACTTGATATATTTCACATCATTCTTCCACATCTGTAAAGACTAAAGTATACATACATGAGTGGAGGAAATATTAAGCATGTACCTCTGAACTGTAGTGAGTAGTAAGACAAGTATACAAAACATTGAAATACTTAATAAAGTAAAGTATCTCAAAATTGGTGCCAAGTAGTACTTATTGAGTTTATGAACTTAGTTACTTACACCATGTTGACTATTAAAGATAGAAGACTTAACCTTGCACAGAGGCATTGAAAATACATTTTCAAATGCTCAACAGTGCTGTCAAATATAACTTGACTGCCACAATTAAAAATAACTCCTTTATAATTTCTATAGATGTGACCTTGGCTTTCTGTTATTATTAACACTGCTGCTTTAGTTTTCTGACTGCTAAAATCCTCTGTCATTCCGTGGGGTGGGGAGCCGGGGCTTGGATCCTGTCACCTTTCATACCTGAGAGTTTGCATCCCTGTATGTTAAAAAGCCCAGTCACCTAATTCATGAATAAAAACTCTCAGGTCGTACACTCAAAGCTAAATGTGCAATACCATTTCAGCTATGTTACTATTTATAATGTTATTGTGTTATATTCAGAGATGACGTATTGAAGATTTCTTAACTTACAGTAGGCTATTTTTTACAATGTGTGTTGGAAGGATTTATTAAATTATAATGAATATTGTCATTGTTGAAGGCTTTTAGACAGTGCTTAATTTGTAAATCATAAGGTGCCGGAACGCAAAGTACATATGACAGCTCAGGGATGACGAGACGCGTACAGGTCCCGGAACGTATACAGAAAAGGTGCTGAAAACAATGTCCACTTGCAACGCTGTGGGACTTACAAGCCTCAATTTCAAATAGTATCCATGGTATAAATGTTATGACGATAATTTATAATTTTTTAGGCTAGTACGCACAACATAGGCAAATGCCCACATCACCACAGGTGGGACTTCAGTATACAGCCAGCAATTAATTTCTCAACAGGTTTAACGTGTAAAAAAAATATTTATTAGGCCTATTCAAAGATTGGCACGGCGGCCTATTAATAGACAGTATCTTTGCTCACCATATTTAGTTGTTTAAAACACCCCACATCACGAGCATGTCCGGATTGTCCTCTATCTCTTTTTTTCTGCTTTTACTGCGTGTGTCTGTGGCAGTTCTGTGTCCTTTGGCCACCCAGGACCTCACGTACGGGACTGGATTGAATTTAGCCAGGGGGGGTCCAACAAGATTTAGGAAGAGTAAAGATGACATGGTGGATGTGAGCAAAGAGCTACGGTTGGGAGTGCAAATCAAGTTCATTTGAGAAAATCCGCGCTCACATTCAGCACTTGCAATGGGAATGCTGTTGACAGCAACAAGTAACTCCATCAGCTCATCGGGGGTGTCTTTACCATCTGAGTCTCTGTACGTTCTGTAGGCCCGTATGACTGCGCGCGGGTTGGCAATGTTGAAGCGCTGACACAGTGACTCGACCTCAGTCTCTCCATACAGCGCACCTGCGTCCTCGGGCCAGTATTGTGCGTAAAGCACCTTCAACTCCTCAATGAACTTGTTATATCCAGTTTTATCTGGCATCCAGCCTCCTTGAGATAACATACGGTCCTCCAAGTTCTTGGCCACAGTTAGAAAAAACTGCTTGGGGTCGAGTGATCTGTCGGTTGATTTTCCTCCATTCAGCGTGATGCCATGGAAAGAGTTTTCCTCAATTCCCCTTTGGCTCAGTTCAGTGTAGCGACCTGGCCGATCCGACATGGCCTCAAGTACCCTGATTTCCCGACAAATTGACTTGTGTGCTGAAATGATGGTAATGTCTCGTTTTTGAAGCTCGACTGAGAGCTCAGATAATTCTTGCAATGCATCGCACATTATGCCTAAATTGTTCACAAACGCATGCGAAGATAAGCGCATAGCAAGCCCACTGTATGTTTGCTTTGTGACACTGTTACGGGAGGGATCTTCTGATGCAGTTTTGAAATGCTTGTGAAGTGCTGGGTAGTTCTTCCACACTGCTTCAACGGTTCTAAAACTTGATGCCACCCATCTAGTGTCTAAAATACGACCTATTTTGCATAGCTGGACATCCCAGCTCTCAGCTGACTCTCTCAGCTCCATTCGATTTTTGTTAGATGTGCTATACAGTGCATATATCTTGTCCATCAATATTTTAAAGTGATTTATAGCACCCATCTCTTTCACTACGTCTGCGACTGCAAGCTCAAGCCTGTGGGCTGAGCAGTGCCACACAGTAATGTTGGGGAACATGGCCTGGAGCCGACTCGCCACTCCGCTTTTACGCCCTAACATAACCAAAGCACCATCACAAGTTACTCCAATGAGGGTCTTAGAGAGAAAATCCTGTGTCAAATGCAGGCGCTCCAGAGCAGACAACAGTTTGTGGACAATACCTTGAGCAGTTAGATCATCTAGCTCTACGAGTTCAGTAAAAATGTTTGTAGGCTTTTCCATATCGGGCAACTGAGCCCTAAGGTATATTATCAAGCAGCTCTTTTTGCTTAAACTGGTCTACTCATCCAGCATTACACTGATTTTGGGAGTGCACTGTACTATTTTTTCAAACAGTTTTCTTTTCATTTCTTCAGAAATATGTTTCTGTATGTTTACACATGCAACATTGGAATGTAAAATTCTCCCCATATCGAGTCCATTTAATTCTTGGCAATCAATCTCCTGTTCGAAGCCATATGCGGGACGGTGGCGTTTAGCCTCCTTGTACGCCGTGCGAAATACGCGAGCTGTAGTGGCCATCTGTTCAGACTGACTATTAATTATAGACTGTCCTAAAGTGTCCACTTTTGCCTTTTCAAGAATGCTTGCTGCTGCTAGGTGAGCCTTGGTACGGGCATGTTCAAATACTTTTTTTGAGTGCGCGTTGCTGTTTTATAATATCTGAAGCAGATGAGGTTACTGTGCATAAAACCCACTCTTTTGCAAGTTTCATCCCCAACGTCTTCTCTGCCCCCAAAGACCCCACCGCCTTACACGTTGTGCAACCCAAACCTGATTTTCCCCTAAAAAGCCAGGGATAGTAAGTCTGCTTCACTTTTAGCTGAGCTTCTGTCCAAACAGTTGTGCATCCCATCCCTGACCTGTCGCTGGACGTCCCACACTCTTCTACGCTCAATGCGCTCTCCTCTCCTACTGAATCTTCCTGCTGTAAGCCAGCTGATGTCGCGGTTCCGCTCGCCTCTTGCTCCGGCTGTTGTACCGGGCTAGTTGATGCCAGGGTACCCACCCGTTGCTGTTGGTGGTCCACCTGGCTGACGGTAGCTGGCTCCTGTTCCGGCTGGCGGTGAACCTGACCCGCTGCTGCCACGGTGCCAGCCTCCTGCCCGGGCTTGGCTAGCTGTCGGTTAGCTAGCTGGCTAGCTGTTGCGGCGCTAACCTCCTCCTGGTTTTGACCATCAACATGACCGCTGCAACTGCCCTCGTCGCTGCTTGTGGAGGCTTTTCTGACTCGTTTTGAAGTGTCTATTACCTCTTCCTTCTTTTTGAAGAAAGACAGTAAATGTAACTGTCTTTTTGACATGCTTGCATTGAATCACCGTTTCTTCCTCTCTGCGACGTGCTCCTCATGTGGCGAATGACAATTATAGAAGTGTCTTTTAAGTCTCCTACAAGTAAAGTGAGGAGAAAAGCGACTGTAAATTATTTACGTTCCATGTAAATCGCGAATAAGTATGATTAGGGAGGGGGACCACGGTCCTCAGCTGTCTAGTAAGAAAAATCCGAGGCGTCGGGCAGGGAGGGGGTATTCGCCGAAGACGGTCCAGAACGGTACGACAGGTAACTTTTCGGTCAACCATCCTTTCGACCTGTCGTTTCCTGAACTAGTCATGAAACGGACATTCTTCCGATCCGCGACCCGAGACCACTCAAATTCCGATTCGGTCCCAGTATTATTGACAATTTTCGTTCCGGATACCATTGCTGTAACCTAGTGATGTGGTGTTCCTACGTACTACTCTTTTTCTGACTCTTGTCCATTACATCCGGACGACTAATTGGTGGTGTAGTCCGGAAAAGTAAAGGTTAAAGGCAAAAACAACAGGCAAATGTGAAATTATGGGTGAATAAAACATCCAAACCATACATATAAATATTTTTTGTAGACGACGAATACATCTAAAAAAACAATTCGTAAAATATTTACTATTATAAGCCACAATTACAAGTGAAATAAATTAAATTCTCGTACATATAATTCATATAAATAAAACTAAAACTTACAGGTAGGAGGTGTGTGTACAATGATGTTTGTGCGGCGTAGCAGTGTGGTGATTGTTGGCGTTGGCTGAGTAGAGCTCCGAGATGGAACCGTCCTGGAGGTGACAATGCACAAATATAGGTGTGTAGTCACTGGGTGAGGGAGGATGAGCGGTCGTGAGTGTACAAGCGTGCAGACCGTGGTCAGCAGATATTGAAAGGTGGCGAGTGCACAGGCGCATGTGTAGACAGAGCATAACGCGGTGGATGGGTTGCGTGGATCGTACGGTGCGGGCGGACATGGGCCATCCAATGGAATGGTCGGTGAGTGGAATAGGCCAGACGCGCAAGACCTGCCGAGACCAATGTGCGTGAAGACACGAACCAGAGCGCGCATGGGACGCGCGCACCACCACGCCTGCCCGCGCCGCGCGCCGCGCGCGCCCGCCGCGTGGGGGTGTGGTGTGTTGTTGGTGTGTGGCCGGGAGGCGGGGGCGGCGAGGGGGGGGAGCGGGGGGTTGGGAAAAGAAGCTTTGTGCGGGTGGCGCGGAAAGATGTGTGCGAACGGGTCGAGGACGGCGCTGGGGGAGGAAGGGGTCGTGGGTGAGGTTCTCGCGCATCGGAATGGACTGGCGGGGATGAGTGGTGCCGTTGGTGAGGGTGGAGAAGCGATAGTGGTTGGGTACGGGGAAGGACATGCGAATGGTAAGAGGAAGTATTTGTATGACGTCTAGGGAAATAGAATGGGAGAAAGATTAGATGTGTGTATGGTTCACGTGAGGGAGATGTGACGGTCGAGGAGTGGGGAGAACGGAGGCTATGGGCTCAACCGTCAAATAAGTGTGGCGGTGTATGATGTCGGAGCCAATTAGCGAAAAGTGGCGTGTAAGTTGTGTGACGACGGTGGGAGGTAGCGTGTGGTGCCGTTGTGTGGTGGTCTTGTTCCGGGGGAGCGGTGTGGAGGGAGAAGCGGGGAGAGAGAGAGAGTGGTGTTAGCAGACGGAGAGCGTAGTGTTGTGGGGCAGGAGTTGGAGATGCCGGGGGGGGGGGGAGATGATTAGTCTGTGAGTCTGTAGACTGTTGGCGGGATGGGTGGGTGCCGGGAGACGGACGGGTGTGTCGCGTGTAATTGGTTTCTGGTGTGTGATTGAGTGGCGTGGAAGTTTTCGGAAAAAAACAAGGTAAAATCATCTTATATTTTTCTTTACGGAAAATTTAACCTACGTTCGTTGTGATCAAGAATTCGACTTACTATTATCTGCATATTAGTTAAATTTGTGAGTGGGTGAGTGGAGAGAGGGGAGGAGAGGGGGAGAGCTGTAAGAACGGAGGGATGGGAGAGGTAGTAGCGTAGGTGGTCAAGTGTGTGGGTGTGTTTGGGAGGGTGGGGCGAGAGGGTAGGGGTGGCCGGGATGGGAGTGTGGCAGAGCGCCGGGAAGGAGGGAAGGTAGGAGTGATAGGTGTGGGACGGACGTTGAGCGATGGAAGATAAAAGCTGTGACGAGGGGTTTGGAGCGCAGCCGCGGGAGGGGTGGGCGCTGTACGAAGGAAAGGTTGAAGCGGCGAGAGAACGTGTGTGCTGGGAAGTGGAGGCGGACGGAAGCGGTGTTCTTGCGACATGAGCAGGGAAGTGCGAGGGGAGGGGGAAGAAGCCGCGTCGCGGAGTGCCGTGCTTGGGAAGCCTGCCTGAAGGGCAGGCAGTCGCGCAGAACGACGTGGACCAAAACTGTGAGCGGGGATTGTGGGAGGAGAGGGGGGAGCTGGATTGTCGGATGGGAGCGGGTAGACGTGCGCGCGTGTCTCCCTGAAACTTGGAGTCGGGGTGGAGGGGCTGATGTGTTGTTTTTTTGGGTGGGGGAGTGGGTGAGCGGTGCGAGGGGTGGAGATATGAGGCAGAACGAGCGGGAAAAAAGGCGGAAGACGGTATTAACACCAGAACCACACACGCGCGCCTGACAGATGAGGGACGAACCTGGGCGGCGTGTGGGTGTCAGTGCGTTTGATGCAAAAGCCGGACGGGGTGGGTTCGGGCGGGCTGTGTAGAGCCCCAGTGGGGCCGTTAGTGTGTTTGGAAACGGTGGCGCGAAGTATACGGCGGTAGAGAGGAGAGCCGTGCGCGGTAGGAGTAGCCAATATCGGATGTCTGGGAGTGTTGTCGTGAGGAAGCGAAGCAAGAGATGAGAGAGGAGCGGTGGTGGTGGGCGCTAGCTGACCCTGTTGAGAGGGAGCTGAGCGCTGGCCCGCGGGAGCCAAACGGAGTGGGGAGGCATGAGCGCAGAGCTGAGGCTGAGGCCAGTGAATTGTTCGGCGACGTTCGTCCCGGGGCGAGATGCGTAGCGGTGCCGAGCGACCCGGACTGTGCGGGTGCCCGGATGGCCTCTAGCTCCGGGTAGTACTCGTTGAAGATTGTGTGTGGGTGTTGACTGTACTACACGACGGTAGAACTGTGTACAGAGTAGATGTATGAACATCTCGAAATACTCTTACTTCCAGACGCCGACAGGTTCCAACCTGCACGCGTGGGAGGGGGTATTAGCGTGTTGTTCTGCGAGTGTAGGACACCTCACGAACCGGGATTTCCTAACACGTACGTATGGCTTTGCAATGAGAGTTGAGTAAGTCGATCGGTAAATCGACTTAGAGAACTGAACGGACAAGATATGGTGAAAAAGATAGTTTCACCATAACTTAACACAGTTTGTATTTGGGTATATGTTGTACAGTAAGAAATGTGAGACAACGCCAGTAAACGAGAGATAAGGTAAACTCCCATTTTAGTATCCTGGTACGGTCAGCGATATATGATGAGTCGTCGAGAGAAGCAAACGGGTCGTCTTCAAAAAGGACGTACCCTTCGGCTACTCAAACTGAAACTTTGGAGTGTCTCGTCACGGCTCGGACTCCGGGTCCAGTAACGGATGAAGAGAGGAGTCTCTTAGACCAAACAATGGAAAAAGAGGTTGTAACAAACTGAAGTAACATCAGAAAATAATTAACATAGAGTATCATACGTAGTTACTTGGATCAATAACTTTATTACAATGTACGATTGTAAAACATACATAGTGACGAACCGGTACACCAAGTTGACGACCCGACTTATGTTGATCTGGTCCTTGACAAGAACAGACAGACGATAAAATTACTTCGCGGTAGTGTAACCGATATTCGAGTTATCTAATTTAGAGCAGTGATGAACGTCGAATATAACCTATTAGAGTTAAGGTTTGATATGTCTGATAACTCGACCACTAGCGTCCGTCCGTAGAACTTGACGGGTTAAAGTAAACTGAATGTGTCGCAGTGTGAAATTGTGGTGGGACAGTTAAGACTCGCTCTAACTTCCATAGAATATATTCACACCTGAAAGAGGTAGACAGGAGGAAAGCCTAACACAGTTGAACGCGAACACAGAGACGACGAGTTGACTATTCTAACGTTGAGTGAAGTGAACATGTGACCTTTAAAATACATATTGCTTTCTGACCATTTCTTTATGTACACTACTTGTTGTTTCTGGTACTCTTGGTGTTCAAAATTAGACTACGCATGCACTGGCTTTATGCAAAAGAAACTTGATACAAACTATACATTATGTAGACCAGACTGATCGACAACAGTAAAGATTCTCCCTTCTGTGCTCATCTCACTTTGTCTTCCCGACAATACCCGTGGACGCGAGTGTTTGGTCGCCACCTTGTCTCGGTAGAGACTTTATGTCCTCTTGCAGTCAACATGAGACGGTAGAATCGAAATGTTGGATTTGTGTGAAGCCGATTAAATACAGTTTCTTGTTCGACAAGGAATGAGGCATAACTTGCAAAAGATATGAGTTATAAGTCCCACCTGAGGATATAGAGACAAACTGTGACGTTGATTAACTACCAAGAATATACTATCTGTGGTAGTAAGGACAGGAGACAAATCAAAAATTTAGATCGTAGAGAATACAGAATGAGATTCATCGAAGTCAGATCGGAAATTGACGTCCGGACGTCATACGCCACTCGGCATACATACCGTGTCTGGTGAAATGTTACGACGTCAAAGGTATATTAGTGAAATGTTTGATCCAGCATCGTGATATACCATACGTGCTGACAAGTCGCCAGCCGATAGATACCCGATGTAAGCTTCACCATAGGACCATCCTGCAACGGGGATTTAGGACCCTTGTAGTAGAAGTTACGCCTAAGTGTTAGCATTTGTAGTCGCAACGGACTCAGTGTCGTAAGAGAAAGACATGTAGGTTATACGACTTGTTCAAGGCTTGAAAGAGTAATAGTGTTGTCGACAGACACAGTACCACTTATGTTCAGCAAC